TTATCTTATATCTTGTATATCTAAGTAATTATGTAGTTTTCTTATTGGTCATTCGAAGTGTAGGTTTTAAGTATAGTGAAAAATTAGTATTTTTAATAATTTCTTCGGTTTCTGTAATCAAAACGACTTATTAATATGTAAACGGTCTAATCTACCGTTTTTTACTGTCATTATATTGTAACGTTTCGAATACCATTTGGTATTTTGGTATTTTTAGATATTTAGAGCTTTTTTTTTGTAATCAATTCCAAGTAGACACATAAATAAATAAATAATAAATATTTACTAACAATCACACCACGTTAACTGGTCCCGTGATAAGTTCGTAAAGAACTTGTGTTACAGGTACCAGATAACGGAACTAAATATAAGATTTTTATTATACACATACATATATTTAAGATACATCCTGAACCCTAGAAAATACACTTATAATTATCATACAAATACCTTCCCTTGGCGGGATTCGAACCCGCTACCCCCTTGTGTATTGACCATGTCACTTACCACTACACCAGACGGCCGTTAAACATAACACATATTCGAACCAATACGCTAAAGTTTAGAAACTTCAAAGAGCCCATTTTCATGCTTAGTTCTTAGCTTAATTCCTTCTAGTCGCTCCATTGTTAATCTTAAAACTCCAAACTGAAAACCCTGTATTTTATGTTCAACGAATTCTTTTTATGACTCCAGATTATGTGGTTCTTGCTATCAACAGATGGCTATGAGCGGCTTTTGTATTACTTAATACAGCAACTATCTTATCTTATGATTCTTTTTTCTTTTCTTATAATCACTTATCTAGCTGGAAAGATAATCTTAGATACTCCAAGCCTTCAAGATCTTTTGTGTCAACCCCACGTTCTATGATCTTTTAAAGTTCCTTTATATTTTACGTAAAATAACAACAACTTAAAGAACTAATGAAGAAATAATAAATAAATAAAACGCTTTATGAAAAATACCTTTAACTTTATTTGCGTCAGATAGGTATTCAGGGCTTCTTTAGTCAGCTTTCGGAGACATCGTGAAACCTAATGGCTCTGTATTGTTTTGTTGAATAGTTTCAAATCGATAAGACATGTATGTACTATATATTATGAATATAAACTAAGCTAGTTATTAGATTGCTACTAACAACGCATTGATGTTTTAAATTTTAAATTCTTAAAAATCGATTGACACTATCTAAATTTTAAAACTGCACAGGAATTTTGAAACGTTCTGTTAACAAACAATTTTGAAAATTTTATGTTAAAAACTTGCCCCATAAAGGAGCATCTACATTAAGGCTGCCGCGTCTAATAAACATTAAGAATAGAGGTCAATTGAAAGGGATTTAAGATCTCTACAGCTCTGTCTCGTCATACAAACAGGATGTTTTAAAATAGAGATCCGAATATTTATGATAAAAATTACTTTTACTCTGTTCTACAAATCGTTACACCGGATTTTAAAATTTATTACCGTTCTTTTTTAAATATTCTTCTAATATCGAACGAATCGATTGTGTGTAGCAATTATTATGAGTCTGTTTTTTTTTTCAATAATTACAATTAAAGCTCAAAAAGGCATCAGTATAGCGATGTGTACCAAAATACGAATACGTTGTTATCAAGCTCCAATTTGTACTAGTGTGAGTTCATTTATCTCAAAACAATATTTTAAATAATGACTTATTTATTCTATTACGACAATAATTTATTCTAATGACACCACGTTCTTAATATGATACAGTTACTCTTCTAAATTAATTTTAAATTATTAATTTATCTAATATATAAAATTCTCGTGTCACAATGTTCGTTCCCATACTCCTCCGAAACCGCTTGACCGATTCTCATGAAAATTTTTATGCATATTCAGTAAGCCTGAGAATCGGCTACTATCTATTTTTCATACCCCTAAGTGATTAGGGTTGTCCACCCTAAATTTTTTTTTTATTTGGACATATTTTTTTTGTTATAATGAGGTATTATGTGATTGAATGAGGTTTTGTTATTTTTATTATATATTCCCTCATCGTTCACAGCGCTACATGCCTCTTTCACTCATTTACCACATCCTTACACACTTACAGTAAGTAAGTTTTTTTCTACACTAGAAATTCCCTAGAAATCTTATATATGGCAAAACAATGTTTGCCGGGTCAGCTAGTATTTTTATGAAATTTTATTCTTAAATTATTTCTCAAATGTGTGGTCGACGTAAATACCGCCACCCACCTTGAGACATGAGTTCTAAGGACTCAGTTTTTACTAAGTACTATTCGTGGCCTGCGGGGTAGCACGTCCGGTGAATTCGTATCGAGCGATGCGACAGTACCGGTGTTCGAATCCCGCATACAGGTACCATTTTTTGTAATGAAAAAGGCACTTAACTAATGTTCACGCACGACTTCCACAATGAAGGAATAACATCGTGTAATAAAACTCAAACTCGCAAAAATTTTAATTAGCGTAATTACTGGTGATAGAGTATCTTGTGATTCTACATGGGTATGCGCCACCACCCTGCCTATTTCTGGCGAGAAGCTGTAATGCATTTCAGTTTGAAGGGTGAAGTAGCCATTGTTCGGTAAAAGAACCGTTTGACTTAGAGCTTATGCCACAAGGTAGGTGGCGATATTTATGGGCTATGGGCTCCGATAACCATTTAACACCTGGTGGGCCGAGAGGTCATTCATCCAACTTAATAATGAAAAAGGCAACGATACTATTATATGATATTTAATGGTAGGCAGCGGCTTGGCTCTGCCCCTGGCATTGCTGACGTCCATGAGCGACGGTGACCACTTACCATCAGGTGGGCCGTATGCTCGTCTGCCTGCAATGGCGATAAAAATAAAAAAAAATAAAAAACACACACCCTGTATTTGGAACGAAACCTATCACAATCGTAAATAAATCCCGCTGTATACTTTCGGATGTGGAACAGACTGGGGTAAGTATGATTAATGGATTCGTTGGGTTAGGTCGGGGAGGCTTGCATTGCTGCCCTGATTCGCTTATGGTTCCTGATAATCTTTATGGGGGTCTGCAGGATGATGCAGTTGTTTCCAGGATTTATTGCGATTTGCGGATGAAAAACATTTTTTTTTCCGGGTATTTCTTATCTATATATTAATAGGTACGTGAAGCAAAAACTTTGTACACCTTTTCACGAAAATTGCGCGGACGGAGGAGTATGAAATTTTCCACACTTATAGAGAATATAGAGAAGGAGTGCAGAATACTATTTTTTTTTTAATTATACATTAATAATACATTAGATGATTAAAAAAAAATAACTCACACTACCATGTATTTGACACACACACACATAATTGTTTAATATTATATACTCTTTGTTTATTGTCAAACTTTTGTTGTTGCTTAAAGTCTGTGGTCAAATTGAGAATAGGTTAATATTATTTGTCTATAGTGTGGTCTTAGCGAAATCTATGAATAAAGAAGTAAATAGGCTTTGGCAATAGAACCACCATAATGTTCAAAATTATAATTACAGTTAATTATAGTTGAATTTCGACTATTGCGGGACCACTAGTAAGTTTCTAGTACAAATGTAACGAATGTATAATTATAACTACAAGTTTGTCAGTTTATGTCATTTAAACAATCATAAATAATACAATTTTTATTTTACAAAATAGTCAACCGTCTTAAAGAAAATAAAATTATCATTAATGTAATCGAAGTCATTTTAGAGGATAACTCGAAAACTATTACTCGTATACTCTATTCCAATTACGAAGTCCCATTTGACAGATGTCATTATTATGTTATTGTGTGTGTTAATTAATTCTATAATGATTTAGATTGATTGTATTTTTTTTTTGTCTCCTACCTAAGCTGGTAGCCTGGAGCGGCTATTCCAGCGTAACCGTAACTAGTAGGTGAGCTCACGGGGCTCGAACCTGACGACGATGCTAACACGAACCCTAGCAAGAGTCGTGCTTCGCAGAATCTACCACCGGATCGGAAACGCGACCCACTGAGAAGATCCGGCGAGAAACTCAGTGGGCTGTGTCTGAGAGTTAATTTATTTGGCGAGCCCTTCGTCGCAAGCGACGGGTTCGACGAGAACGGTGACCGGTGCTTGAAGTATCTAGAAGCACCGTTAGTGGATCGGGAGGATCCGAGATGACGTGTTTGGGCGACGTCGACTGCTTTCCATTTTGTCCGCAGGATCGGGAATGTAGTTACCGGCGGCCACGATTTGAGGGTTCTCGTGTCGTGCCGCTTTATCGAGGTGGGTGATTGTGTATTTTTTTGTATTTTTTGAATGATGTTCACGACCATGAACAAAAAATGATTATTATTTCAAATTATGCGAAACGTGATGAGTTACGTTCTAAGAAGTGTCAAAAGGGACTTCGTAATTGGAATAGAGTATAGTTCAATTTTGATAAACCATCATGTAAGAAGCATCGATTTACAATTTTTATTTTTTTTATTGCTTCGATGGGTAGCCCACCTGGTGTTAAGTGGTTACTGGAGCCCATAGACATCTACAACGTAAAATGCGCCACCCACCTTGAGATATAAGTTCTAAGGTCTCAGTATAGCTTACAACGGCTACCCCATCCTTCAAACCGAAACGCATTATTGCTTCACTGCAGAAATAGGCGGGGTGGTGGTACCTACCCGTGCGGACTCACAACAGGTCCTACCAACAGTAATTAAGCAAATTATAATTTTGCGGGTTTGATTTAAAAAAAATATCCGTCAAATTTACCTAATGTTCAGTATTGTTTCAAATGTTTATAATGTAAATTCACTTAAATTTGCGAGGTGTGTTTTATTTGGCTTCCTTTGAAACCCCTTATTAATTAAAATATTGTTTGGAAGAATCGTCCACTTAGAAAAAAATTCTCAGGTATCGACTCGCATTAAAATACAGTAGAATTGGAAAAGCTAGCAATTTTTTTTTTAAAAGTCGGTTAATAATAAATTGTTTTAAAAATGGAAGTGATGAATTCGCAAAAGGTAACTCACCTTCGTACATCTGTGCATACTGCGGGAAACCGGCCGCTCTTAGCCATTTGCAAGCCTCGGCTGCTTCGATCTCTGTAACAACGTAAATATATATAGATTAGGTTATTGTTCCCAATAAATTTGGCTTTTTTTTATTCAATCTCTGTAACGATTTAAATGACATTAGGTAATTGTTTCCAATTTTTCAGTTTTCCCAATTCCCAGTTTTTATTTTATTTTTTATGTTAGGTTATGCCGCTATCTTCTACCTTGAGATATGAGTTCTAACCTCTCAATTTTTTACAGTACAACGGCTGCTCCACTCTTCAAACCGAAACGCATTATTTCTTCACGGCAGAAACAGGCAGGGTGATGATACCTACCCGTGCGGACTCACAAGGCGTTCTACCACCAGTAGTTCGAAGTATTATTATTAAATAAAAAAAATACTATTATAAAAGTGAAACTGAGTTTGTTTGGTTTCTTATAGTTTCGCATTTTATCTTGACCGATCACTATGAATTTTTTTTATATACCCGTTGTCAAGGATATCAAAATGACGTGGCATGCCTTTGACCCACATAAAACATATTTGTTATAATTTCTTTCCTATACGAGTATTAGTTAGCTTGACTGTGTGTTTTTTTTATTGCCCTTGTAGTCAGACGAGCATACGGCCCACCTAATGGTGAGTGGTTACCGTCGCTCATGGACTTCAGCAATGCCAGGGGCAGAGCCAAGCCGCTGCCTACCGCTTAATACTCTCCACAAGCCTCGTTTGAAGAAGGACATGTCATGGCGATTAGGAAACACCGTGGAGGGGAGCCCATTCCATAGCCGGATGGTACGTGGCAAAAAAGATCTCTGGAAACGCACTGTAGATAACCGCAGTGGCTCCAGGTAGTATGGATGAATAAATTATTAATTGATAAACATTTATCAATACCTTTTTCTAGACTGTTTCTCAATCAATTTTCTTTTCTTATCAGCAGTTAGTAACTATAGTGATTTTGATCAAGATAAAAAATCATGGCCTAGTTCACTTTTTTTTGTACTAGATAAAAGAAAATTCAATACGCAAAATGAATTTAAATCTAAGAGTGATTAAGATCGAATTTCTTCCATTATAGTAAATAAATAAAAAAACTAAAATTATTCAAATTTCATTTGAGTTTTGAATAATTTAAAAAAAATAATACATAATACATTTAGAACGATAATTTATTAATTTTGCGGACTGCGAAGTTAAATTTTTCTTTAAAATGTAGCCCCGTAATTTGATGTAAAATAATGTTATACTTAAACATGTACTTACATTTATTAACAAAAATACAAAACACTGCTAGTTTTTTAATTGAGAGCTTCTAAAATAGTAAGTATAAAATAGTAAATAGCTCAGTGGTGTAGATTGGGAGAGGCCTATGTCCAGCAGTGGACGACTGTGGGCTGTTGATGATGATGATGATGATGAAAATAGTAAAACCGTTCCATTGTCGATGAATATGTTAAAAGGACATACATCGAATACAAATGACCCAATACATATAAATTAAAATAAATAAAATGTTCTTATTAAAATTCCACGCAATCAATACAAACAAGCGAATGCTTCAACAAACAATAGACTTAAAATAAAGCTTTCTCTAATAAATATTAATGTCCGACCAATGTTATAGATCTCTGAATTCGTAAAACTGCCACTAGGAATTAATAAAGTATCGAATAACAAGAGATCTATTTATATTGGCTGTGTTGGTAGCCTCTTATCCGTGTCGCAACGTAGGAAATGTACAGTATTGAAAGATATAAATCCTTATTGGACGACTGCAATGGCGCCTACTTTTTTTTCGTGTTCGTAATTTAAATTGTCGATTTGAATTTAAAAAACAAATGTGAAGTGACTACCGCATTACCTTGAAATGTTTATTTATGAGTGTCGTAATGTCATTGTTGCTTTACGAATAGTGTTTAATTTTAAATTGCTAAGTCAAAAATCACTTTACTAGGGCGATTTCTTAAATCATAGAAGTTAAATAATTTCTCTCTCATATTTATTATTGTTCCGAGAAATAGCCAACAGACTTTTATTTAATACATGAGTCTTTTTCCTCAAGTCTCAAGGAAAACGTAAGCATTCACGTAATAGAGCCTATGTTACCTACTTAGCCTCTATTGAAGCCGCTTATTGGACTACATAGATGGATATCAGAGGCAATATAGATGTCGATCATTTTTTTTAAACATTATATTTGTCATACCGTTCTTTAGTTTATGACGTAACCTCGTTGAGGGCCAAAGGGCTAATCAGTACTATTGTGGTTTGGACGTCAACAAATGTCTAAATAATGAGAAAACAGATACTCGGAGATTACGCGTATTTATTTACCGAACAAAAGGGGCATTAACAAGATTTCTCAACTTTATAAGTACAAAGTAAGTAGGTATTCTTTGTATACCTATCGACTAGAAGCATAAGAGGGCATTGTGGAAATATACAGAATAGTAATGCTAAGCTGTGCGAGTACCAACAAATCCAAAAAGAAATATTTCAAGCAATTTCGTTAAAGAATGAAATTTACAAACAAAAATTACAATTGTTCAAAGAACAGTACGACCTATGAAAACATTACGATTTAAATTTGGAAACGGTTTCAGAATTTGAAAACAAATTTGGAAATATAATAGTTTCTAAAATGTTCCTCAAGTAACTGAATAATTACTGGAAATATTATTTAATTAATTTATTATGATTTATAATGTTAATTGGTAACGTTGGTTACTAACGTGTTGATTGTGTACCGCACTACGAAAATTCAGTTAGCATTATTTTGTTAATGATAGCATTAACGAAAAAATGCTAACGATCACACTTATAGGTACACTATCTGGCCCGGCAAACGTTGTTTTGCCATATAAATAATTTCTAGGAAAGATAAATAACCTAGATACCGACTGCAGCGCCGTCTGATTTGTAAATCTAAACCATTCTCGAATCCACCTGAAGGTACACAGAAAATTTCATTAAAATCGGTCCAGCCGCTTAGGAAGAGTTCAGTGACAAACACACGCACAGAAGAAATATGTATGTATATAAAGATAATTATCAATTCAATTTTATTAATGCATATTGTATTTCGACTAGATCGAAGTTTATGTTTACTTTTACATTTTATTACAATTAAGTGTAAATTTTGTTTAAAATGTAATATGGATCTATTCCGAAAAATTGACACGTATGACTTCATAAATAAAACTAGATGAAATCATTAGGTTTTGGATTGCGTTCTAACCAACGTGTTTCTTTGAGAAAGCGGCACAAAAGGACAATACTCATTTTGTAGCCACCAGATGCTACATCCTCGACCCAGATCAGGTAGCAACGAATGGCCACAATCGCCTTACTCATGTTCTTCAAATACCCTCGTGATCCACTCAAAGTTAGTTGAGGCATTTCAAGCGCAAATTCGACGTGCAACTTAACCTAACACACACAACCCATGGAGTGTTTCGCCGGATCTTTTCTCACTATTTTTTCCCCTAACTATTTGTTGGTAGCCTAAGAAGCTATTCCAGTTTCACGTAGGCAGGTAGTTGAACTTATGAGCTTAATCTGAGAAAATTTGCTAACACCAGTCCTAGCAAGAACAGTGCTTCGAAGAATCTACCACCGGATCGAAATCGCGGCCCACTGACAAAATCTGGAGAGAAACTCAGTGGGCTTTGCTTTTAGGCCACTGTCGTATACCTTAAAGTAGCACTGAAAATTTCAGGCCAAATTTAATACTGGTAGTAGGAACTTTTGTGAATCCGCACGGGTAGGTACCACCACCCTCCCTATTTCTGCCGTGAAGCAGTATTGCGTTTCGGTTTGAAGGGTGGGGCAGCCGTTGTAGCTATACTTGAGACCTCAGAACTTATATCTCAAGGTGGCTCATTTACGTTGTAGATGTCTATGGGCTCCAGTAATCACTTAACACCAGGTGGGCTGTGAGCTCATCCACCCATCTAAGCAATAAAAAAAAGTGAATATGGACTTGTAACAAGTCCTAAGGATTCTAAGTAGTTGTAAAATCAAAGTAAGTGTTTACGATTGATTGAACATTTCAAATAGATAGGCGAACTAAGCCGCGTCTTTATTAAGCTCGCCTTCTGTACATACCAATAAAATTATGTCTTTTGCATTAGTGTTTGTATTAGTAATGAGATATCTATAATTGCAAAAACCCAAGGGATTCGTAACTTTGTTTCAATTTTTCTTTTGTTTCTACCCACATTGATTCGAAAATTGAAATTGATTGATAAGACCTCTATTCTAGTTCATTCAATTATCATTCATTCAATTAATTTATTCATATGAAATAAAATAATAACATTACTACTAACATTAGGATGCAATTATTTTTATAGCGCCAAATAAATCGTGAACTGGCCGTAATAGGCAATCAGCTGAGCGCGAATATGGTTCGTCAATAATTTCGACTACGTTCTGACCTAGTTATACGTATATGTGTCGGAACGATGATCACACACAATCGAAGTAGTTCATTTATGTAGCTAATGAAATCTGTAAATACGTTGAAACGCGTTGAGTGTGCCGAGACGTTGCAGACGAGTTACTATTCGACAACTCATCGTGTACTGTAAAAATTATTTGTTGACATTATAAAAAAACCAAAGAGGATGATAGTAGTGTAAGGTTGGTTGTAAAATAACTATAGTATAAATTTATCATGTTGAAATTAGACAATTTTTGGATTGCCAAATGGCACTGTTAGTGGAAGCAATGGCAGTAGTAGAGACGAGACAATATAAAAGGTGGTAGTCGGAAAAAACCAGAGAGAAGGCGGTGTATTCTATAGTGAGCACATACCAAAACGTTGTAAAGTGGAGATAAAAATAAATGAGTACAGAATTAAGTGAACTACTGCAATCTGTGTGTTATTTTTGAAGTCGCCGTGGTCTAACGGATAAGACGTCCGGCGCATTCGTGTTGAGCGATGCACCGGTGTTCGAATCTCAGGCGGGTATCAATTTTTCTAATGAAATACGTACTCAACAAATGTTCACGATTGACTTCTACGGTGAAGGAATAA